TGAAAAGGTCATTGTAAACACATTAACATTATTAAACCTCATTTATAATTTAAGTTATAGATCTGATAATGCATTGATTCAAATATTGTGCACATTTAGCCACAATTTCAAACTGAATTTTCTAGTTTTCTAACGGAATGATAGGAACACAATGAACAGAATACGAAAAACATGATTTGATTTGTTCAGGCACATTACAATCAAAGACTGAATGACAAATTATGTCGTAGTGACTGTAAACAATTCGCTAATATCAATAATGACACGCAGTAAATGTATTTCCTTTGTTTCAACAAGCACATGTTGAATTTGTGCAAAAATATAATTGATAACACCTTAAGACCTTCCAAACCTACCCAAAACACCGACAAATCCCCTGTAGAAAGCTACTCAGGTATGCAGGTCACTCAGGTATTTCTCTTTTCTCTGTGTATGAACAGGTTCGCGGTGTCGAATAATAATTGTTTTGATTGGATACGACATTGACATCCGATTAGGGGAAATAACTCTAATAATGTCGATGAGGAACGGAGCTATGAGAAAATTAAAATTTGTGAAAACACGGTTAATAAGATGCTTCCATTACTTTTTTTCTGTGTTGTCATAACCAGTTTACCCGAGTTATTTGACATAAAATTTAAAACCGTTAAATCATAAAACAAGAGACCCCGGGGCCACATCGCTTACCTGAGCACTGTACATACTATCTAGAGCTCTCTGGAAAAAATCAAACATTATCATTAAAAATGCTATAAAACACACCAAGCCTTCTCACTGCGGATTGAATACATAGTAAGGATTCTATGCATTTTCAATACTCTTCAAACACTTAAATGTGCATTGTTATGACTCTCAATGGACATGTTAATTTATCGTAAAAATATAATATTTGTACGTCCCCCCCCCCCCCTCTCGCATTTAACATTCAACGTCACATACGGCTCTTACATGTACATCTTTGAAGCACAACAGGTCTGAAAGGCGCTAAATTCAGTAGAAATGATAATGAAAATTACGGTTATAAAGATATAGAAAATAAGAGAATTCTAATATATAAGAATTGGATTCTTAGTTTTGGATGTCGAATGTCTTATAACATGTGTCACTTGTAATCATCATAATAACACATTTTAACAGCTAAATAAAATTTTATAAAATGCAGCTCATATTGCTTTAAATTTTTGGCATGACCTGGCACTATTATACGACTGACGATATAAAAAAAAAAAGAATTTGAAATGCATACGTATTTGCATGCAGGTGAAAAACAAATCTTGTGCCTTCCATGTAGCCATTCACTTTTTCTTCGTGATGAATGAGCCAGGAATCCATATTCAAAGATTAAAACATAGAAAAAGAGGAGTTGAAATCCCAAAAGGGTAAGTCTTTCAATGAAAGATTTCAATAGAAATAAAAGTTATGCTTGGAAGAAGTGACACCCCCCCCTCCCAATCCCACATTTACTACAGGGAAATCTATTTTTGTTTAGGAGACGCAGCCTGCCTCTTGAGTGAGCATTCATATCTGTTCATCTAGGTGACAAATAAGCCTTTTGCCTAACACATGACCATTCACTTTTTCTTCGTGGTGAATGTACGAAATCCATATTCTCATGATTCTTGAAGGAAAACAAAGATTTAAACATAGAAAAAGCCTTTCAGTTGAAACCCCCTATGTTAACAAACCTCGAAACCCCGTTAGGCACAGTAGAATTTGGTCACAAAAGTTCATATTTCTTACAGAAATCGAGATTGTTTAAGGAGAACCCGTGCGCATGTCATTTGGCTCCAAATAATTCATTAGCGGAGAAAATTTACAAATATATTTTCCAAATGCAAAAAATCACCGCTTCGGAGTTGAAACCCCATATGTTACTTAACCGAAACCCCGCATGTGCCCCTTTACACGGTGATTATAGGCCTATAGTTTTGATCGAAAGGCTTTTAAAAATACATGTGTAGGTCCTGACCTACATGTACATACCTGGTTTTACTCTTAAAATACTCAGTACACAAAATCCAGAAGCTTCCGGGACTTTGCCCCTGGGCCCCAGCCAGGGCTTTGTCCTGGACATACTTGGGGGGGGGGGGGCTTAAGTCTGGACCCTGGACCCACTCGATATCAGACATGACTAATATCAACAATGCCATACTTCAGTTTTATAATTCATGGTCAATTCATAATAGCTAAAATTAATAATGCCATTTGTTTTATAATTAATGGCCAATTAATAAATTGTAATTCAAATTATCCTTTTTTTTAAAACACTTTTAAGTTTGTTATGCTCCCATGTTTTCGAGGTCTGTTTTGTTTTTGTACAAAATATGGACAAACACTCTAAAATGAGAAAGGATATGCCCAATACATTGTATCGTTTTTTATGTAATATGAAGAGCCCACTTCAAACAATATTAGACTTTGAAGAGACAAAATACTTATGATAAATTAATCTGTTGGAGTGGTACATGTATATATTAGTAAGAATGTAATGCACTTAAAAAAGTCAGCAATACGTAAACCAGATTCATTTGAAAATCTAAGATTTCAGAAATATAGATGTCTACTACCATATTTCCCCCTAAATCTGATTCTGTTGATTTTCAGTTATTATGTTAATTTTTAAAAGTATCTATTTATTGCAAAATGATTTAAGAGCATAAAATTTCGCCTGCCTCTCCCTCTCTCTTTTTTCCCTAAAATGATGTGGACGTTTATGCGTATACAAACGTACGCCTGGCTACTCGCCTGAAATCAATGAGCCACGGGCTCCCCCAGCCACAAATCTTGTATCCGCCCATGACATTAACTAAGAATGCTTACATATTTTTTTATTGTGACTTTTTCCTACAAGTTTGAACTTTTATTATGCCCCCCACCTTACCCCTGGGGTCCTTGCTCTTCTTGGGAAGAAAATGTTTCCTAGGTATTAATTCCTATATAAAAGTTTGATCACCCATTGTGGCCCTATCTTACCCCTGGAGGCCATGATCTGAACAAATTTTAATCTACATGTACACCACCTGAAAATAATTATGCTTCCATGTATATAAATGACTTATCATGGCTTTGCTGTTCTTGAGAAGAAGATTTTTGAAGATTTTACCTATGTAAAACTTCGATCGTTCTCTGTATAGCCCAACCCTACACTCGATCGAGGTCATGGTTTGTTAAAGGATGCTCCCATAGAAATATAACAAACCTAAGCTTTAATTGTTGTTCTTGAGAAGAAGATATTTAAAGATTTTTCTTGTTTATTTCTATGTAAAACTTTGATCGCCCACTGTTATTGCAGAATTTATTTGATAAAATGAATTATATCAGAGGACACTTGGAAGAAAGCAAAAATCAGTTAAGCATACTAGTATGCATAGAAAAGCTCTTGAAAGTGGTCCCGACCTAAGCCTAAAGGAAGCGGATGGAGGTATGATAAGAACACATTTGAGTTGAATCTACACACTATAAGGATGCTTATATATTTCTTTGACTGACTGTGGCTTTTTCCTCTCCGTTTCAACTTTCATCGTGGTGGCACCCACTGTGGGTCATGATTTGAACAATTCTGAATTTCTATATAAATATGACCAATCATAGCTTTGCTGTTTTTTTGAAGGTTGAAAAGAACTCCTCTGTATTCTTGTGCATAATTTTGTTTATTCATTGTGGCCCTATATCCTACAAGGGTATCATGAAACTTAAATCTGCGGATGTTTCCATATATTAAATATGGCCATCAATCATATAGTTTTGCTGTTTTTAGAAGATTGAAAAGAAAACTCCTTTGTATTCTTACTGTACTTAAGAAAACGATTTTAAAAGTTTTTTTCTATAATTTCCTTTGTTTTTTTATAACCTCCATCACAGGCATATTGTTTAACATAAAAGGAATTTTTCTTTGTCATTTGTCACATTGACCAGAAGCTGTTATGTTAGCTCTTCAATTAACTGTCATGCGCGGATCTAGAGAAGAGGGGGTGGGGGTGGGGGTGGGGGTCAGGGTCTGTAGCTTACAAGAAGGATAATTCATGGGTTTTATAATATGAATCACATTTGCAGTCAAGGCAGAGAGTTAAAGAATGTAAATATAAACAATAAACCATATTTTTTTTAAAGATGTCATAACTGCAATGGTGAGTACAATCAAATTTTCAATACTCGCGTTACTCAATTCGTTTGCACTCACCGTTGCAGATATGACACTATATCTTTAAAAAAATAGAAATATGTTTTTCTCTGGTTTTTCGAACAATTTTATAGGAAATTTTGCCTAAATTTGACACCGGTCAAACGAACAACATTTTTGTATACAAGTTATCTAAATGGTATATATTTGCTCATAGTTTGCTTAAAAAAATCAACTTTGCAATACTTTCAAGTAAATTTAAGCCAAGTTAAGTTTAATTTGACTGTATTTATAAGTTTATGGGGGTATTTTATGGTCTAAAAGTTTTTTTTAATGAAATGTTCCATGCTCTATTTTTGGCCTATGTTCGAGGGGTTGAATCTCCCTTAGATGGACACTAACATATACTTTTCTTGTCTGTAAAGCAATATGAGCTGCATTTTTGAAAAAAAATATTTTGCTGTTAAAATATGCTACTATGGTAAATTTGTATGTAACTTAAGCCTTTATGATCAAGTAGACTAAAATAAAGCAGAAGAAAGACTACTATATACAACCAATGATTGTAAAGTTTTATATAAGAAATCATTATTGTACAGGATGACACTAATGAACTTTTGATTCAATTCAAGCTTATAAATAGTTCTTCCATTGCAAATATGAACGACAGAAGTTTACTAACTTTGTTTTTTCTCTCATTGAAATAGTTATTTACAATTTTGCAACAAAAAATTCCGACATCAAAGTTGCAGTTCATATTACTTTAAATTATTCTTTCAGAAAAAATATAAGCATGTGGAAAGTTTAATGCACGTTTTTTTTTAAATTGAAACAACACAAAATAAAATATGTATTTACTGCACTTCTACAAGTGCATCTACAGAAACGGGACACTACGGAAGCATATAGATTCGTGCGTAAATAATTCAATGTTAATGAATACTGACAGATAAAAAAATATTATAAGAAATATAAAATAAAAATCTTTGTAAATTCCATAATATTAGTGGCATATGACACCAGCATCTTCGTGATGTCCACAATTATGTTTTCCATAACCACTAAATGAACAATGAGCAAGAGATGTCTCATTGCCTTTGCAATCAACGTTATCCATCCATATCTGTCCTGTTCCTTCACCAAACCGAGCGAATATCACCGCCTCAGCAGTTCTGAAAATCAAACAAAATGGAGATAATATAATTATATTGTTGCGAAAAAGGAACCTTCAATAAACAGGCATGGTCAGTTTAAAATTACTTCATTATTTTTGCATAAAGTATTTGATGTATGAATGTTAAATTAAATTATCTAACTTTATTGTGAATTTCTCTGCATTTACTACAAGCATTATGTCGATATCTACATGTATATTTAGAGCAACTTTGTCTAAGATGATAAAATATCTTAGACAAAGTTGTTACAATAAAAGAGGTTAGAATAAAAAACAAGAGGTCCAGGGGCCAGAGCGCTCACCTGAGCATATCAGCTAGGAAAAGCACATATCAAATCAGAACTGAAAGTTTACTGAGGTTGGGAGGGGGGGGGCTTGAATTTTAACCCCCCCCCCCCGGGGATCATGATTTGAATGAACTAGAATCTACACTGCCTGAGGATGATTCCACATAAATATTATTAATTATGGCTTTGAAGTACTTGAAAAGAAGATTTTAAAAGGTTTCCTTATATATTCCTATGTAAAACTTTTGTCGGCCAATTTGGCCCCACCCTAGTCCGGGGGTAATGATTTGAACAAACTTGAATCTACACTACCTGAGGATAATTTCATATGAGTTTCATCTTTTCTGGCCCATTGGTTCTCGAGAAAAAGATTTTTTAAGATTTTCCCTATATATTCCTTTGTAAAAATTGATCGTCCATTTTGGCCCCACCCTACCCCTGGGGGTCATGATTTGAACAAACTTGAATCTATACTATCTGAGGATGATTCCACATGAGTTTCATCTTTCCTGAGCCATTGGTTCTTGAGAAAAAGATTTTTAAAGATTTTTCTTATATATATTTCTATGTAAAACTTTGATCGGCCATTTTGGCCCTACCCTACCCTCAGGGGTCATGATTTGAACAAACTTGAATCTAAATTACCTGAGGATGATTCCACATGAGTTTCATCTTTCCTGGCCCATTGGTTCTTGAGAAGGAGATTTTGAAAGATTTTTCTTATATATTCCTATGTAAAACTTTGATCGGCCATTTGGGTCCTACCCTACTCCCAGGGGTCATGATTTAAACAATTTTGAATCTAAATTACCTGAGGATGATTCTACATGAGTTTCATCTATCCTGGCCCAGTGGTTTTTGAGAAGATTTTTTTTTTAAATGCCATTAATTTTTCTCTTATTCATAATTATCTCCCCTTGGAAAAGGGTGTGGCCCTTCGTTTGAACAAACTTGAATCCTCTTCACCCAAGGATACTTTATGGCAAGTTTGGTTGAAATTGGCCCAGTGGTTCTTGGGAAAAAGATGAAAATGTAACAAGTTCATTACAACGACGGCGACGACAGATTGACAATTGATCAGAAAAGCTCACTTGAGCCTTCAGCTCAGGTGAGCTTAAAACAGAGCCATAGATGACAAGTGACATTTTGGAAAGTATACAATTCATGTATGGGTCACATTTAACAGGTCTGGACGATTTCTAAATAAGGAAGTCAAGAACGATAACCGTGAATTGCTATTAATACACAGAATAAACAAGGCACTAATCCTTCTGACCAATCAGATAACAGCATTTAGACAAACCCATGAGAGAATAAATAAAACACGTGGCTTTTACGTTTTTTGCTCAAAAGATTTTTTTAGAACAAACTTTTTGTAAACTTTATGCGCATTTGGGAATAATATTATATTTATGACAATTCTACCGTGAACAAACACGACTTGAAAGCTTGGATTACGTTTTAAGTGGGATAAAAAAAAATCTGTCTCTAAGATTTAGCAATCCCAAAAGTTTAATTACGTTAAAAAAATTGATATAAATACGGTAAATTTTCAGTTTTTAGAGCCTGACATAAAAATCTTATCGAAAAGATAACAGTCTTTATTATTTTTGAGTGTTTATTACAGAATACTAGTAGACCATGCAGTTTCTGATATGCGAGAGGTAAGATATTAGGATAAAACGCATTCATGTATAATTACAGGATTCTCTTCTCTCCACGTTAAACGCCTTTCCTTATGCCCATTTAAAGTCTGCATAGCTAAGTATTCGGCGCTCATGAAACCCGTGATAATGCAAAACTATATGTGTGTACTCCGTACGATAAACACTTGTGTGAGTTGATCTTACACATGGAATTTAAGCATTATCGATGAAAATGGACGGCTTGAAAATTATATTTACCATCATATAATATATTCTGGTAAATGTTATAATTGAACTTGATAAAAACTTGCTGGTGCGATCTATATATATACCTCTGTAAATGATTACATTCTACAGTGCGTTATTTTTTTCTATACCGAGATAAAAATGTCAAGGTTGTTCACGGTAAAAATGTGGGGAATACCTTATTCTTCAAAAGTTTTCATCTAGTTACTTCTACAGATTTTATGTTTAAAAAATCTTTTTGAGGAAAAAAAACAATAGCACGTGTTATCTTTTTGTTCTTTTAAAATATGTTTTGGGGTGTGTAAAAATGCTGTTGTCTGATTGGACAGAAAAATAATTACGTGTACTTGATGTACATTTATAGCAACTTTCGGTTATCGTTCTTGACTTCCTTATTTGAAATTACAGACCTGTTTAACAGGTATAAATATTTTCTGTGACGTCGGAATAAATTTACATGTACCTTACTGACAAATCGACCAATCAGCTCAATGAGTTGCATTATGGTCTACTACAAAAATACTACACGTGTGTTTCTAAAAGGCCAATTTTTTAAATCGCTCTCGGAAAAACGTGATGCATTTTTCCAAGCATTTTACACACTTAATACAATATGAACTTCATTATCTACTAATTTCATGCTCACAATTTTATAAACAAACGATTTACAATGATAAAAATTAGGGTTTTCTCCACACCATTGTACAAGTCCGTTTGTTAACAGCTTTCCCCGTGCTGTGATTTCAGTTAAAAGTCAATTTCACGTGACTATTCCTTGGTCCAAAAACAATCAACTTTGAGGTGTGCTCACGTATTGTCAATGTTTATAACGTACACAACCTCGAAATACCGGTATATGCTACTCATGTTCTCAATGTGCATGATGGTTTATATAACAGGTAAATAATTTAAAAAAATGCAACCTAAGAATTTTTTTTATAAAATGCAAGTTTTAATTTCTTGTAACAAATAACTGAGCAACAACTCCATAAATTTAACCAGTAACATGGCACATTAACGAATATCGAGTAAAAAAAACTTGAGTCTTATTTACTAGTGAAGACTTTGTGAGCGGTACTAGTATTTCAAAGATCTATTTAACAAGGAAAACTTACTTTGTTTGTTAATGTGAGCATGGGGAATATTAATAAGTACCAAATCTTTGTATTTTTCATGACAAATTTCAAAAAAATTGTTAGCTGACTTTCCTGCAGTCGTTTGAAATCGCGTCAAAATTCCCTGAGCCACGTGTTTGTAGTAAAAATAAACATGTAGTAGACCATCATGCTTTTCGGCTCATTCACTGAATTGGACAATTGTTTGCTGTGAGCACCTCTGTGCGCAATCGCAACAATATCCATATAAGGTAGTTTCCTCGACCTGTTTAAGCCGATGATCGGACGACTATTTTTTTCTGGTCTTGTCGGCTGAAAGAACATAATCGGCAGGAGTATACAGGAGTATCGGGCGACACGGAGCAGGCACATTAATTCCTAGGAACAGCGATGACTTGGATAAATAACACAAAAATTCTTTTTTTTTTTCTTCATAAATTAGCATATTTTAGTTCTGCATTGGCTTTACCCAGTATATCCCAGCATCCTACAAACCACACGTGCGTCATCAGTATCCCAGTGGTCATCACACACACTCCCCTCTGTATTTCCTAGTGTCACGACCACAGTTCCTTCTCTAGAGGAAGATCCACCAGTCAGGCGGACCGAGACTGTCATATATATTTTAAAAAACAATATGAGGTATAATATGAGCTAGCTGCAGCTCTGATGTCGAAAATTTTTGTGACAATATTGTAATTAACTTTTACAATATAACTAAAAAGGAACATTAATAGGTTTTAGTCGCCCATCCTTTCAGAAGAAGAACGATTTATAAGTTTTGATCAAAGCAAAATTACTTTAAAGTAAATAGATGAGATATAATTAGAGAAACCTTACCCATTCCTGTTTACTATAAACTAAACCATTTTAGAGAATCCAAAAAAAAAAGAGGAATAGAAATTGATCAATGTTAATCAATATTTCTTGTTTTATAAGAAAATATCAAATTTCTTATTTTAATACATGTAATATGAACATAAAAGAGCATGATAGATAAACGTAGGCAAACGCATGACTTACACATTGTTACATGAGATTAACATATTTCTTCTTTTTATTTGAAAATTGTGAGAAAATTTTTTTCTTTGCCCGATAAATACAATTAACTCTTCATGAAAATTTTATCTGAAAATTAAATCAAAATCCCACGACCCATGATGTTTTCACATAAATTTTACTTCATTTGTTTTTCATTGTCTTCTTATGCCTAGAATTCGCAAAAATTCTTATGAACTTGATAAAAAAAAATTATGTGCGCCACTTTTGCATTTGTACGAATGAAAAGCATTCAAATTTTAAGAACACGTATACATCTTAACAAGTAAAAAACAAGAGGATGAGAACTTTCCCCTGGGAAACTTTCCCTTTCTAGCAGATTATCAGGTTAAAGATGAACCCTTTTAAAAAAGATTCATCAATGGATTGAATTTCTTTCCTAGTATTTCAACATTTTAAGTAAGTTTATCACGGTTTGAAATCAAGCTTATCGACTTATTGAATGTCTGTAAAGAATTTTTCCTTAATTTTACACCTTTTAACCTCTCTCTTTGCTTTCAGTCGCGCTAACAATAAACATTTAAAAGAAACATATTAGATGTTGATCAACGGAATTAATTGAATACAACTGATTTTGATTGTTAAAAAGGGATATATACTATCTTCTCTCTCACACAAAAATATTATTTTTACAAATAATCTGAATTTGACGAGATAAGTAAATAGAACACTTACAGCACACAACACCGACGTCTTCACTATGGGAACAATCTTCCATTGTAAATCCATTATGCTGACAATTTGCTATGGCCTTTTCTGTTCCTCTGCAAGAGACATTATCTAGAACTATTGCTCCCGTTCCTTGTCCATATGGAGCCCTCTGCTTTTGAATTGCACCATTCCTATAGAAACAATTTAAAGATTAATATAAGAAATATCAGTGATATTTTCATAATTAGTTTGAGGAAGTATTAGACATAAATGAATATAAAGTTTGAGATTGTATTGTATACTTTCTAACACATAAATTAGAATTAAAAATATTTATTATACCTTTACTGATTTTTTCCTATACAAAATTAATAAATAGATCTGAACAATTCCCTAGAAATCGCTGTGAATCAGCTAATCCTCGTATGTTAGTTTTTGAGCTAAACCCTCCGTCGAAAACTAGTCATGCTTATCCTCGTGCGTTAGTTTTTTGAGCTAATCCCTCCGTCGAAAGCTAATTCGCGGTTATCCATTATTGTCTAATTTTTCAATAAAAATAAATTGTGATTTCATTCAGTTATGAGAATAATGATGAGTTAATCTGTAAATGAATATTTTTTTTAAAAGAGAATTTTACAATTTAAATTTGTAACTGTATGATAAAACAGTTGAAGTATATCGTTGAGGAAGTTAGCAAGATTCCACCAAGACTCTGCGCTCTGCGCCTCGGGAAATAGCCCTGGTCTTGGGGAACTGGAATCTTGCTAACTCCCTCAATGATATATAATCAAAGTTGGCATTCTTAAATGCTTGTCTCCTGAATAATAATTTTGGAATTTGAAAAGATATTGGTGGTATGCATTAACATTACCATGCATAACCCAGCTGTCGACAAACAACCTGAGCATTTGTGTCTGTGAAAGAGTCATCACAAACGGTCCCCCAATGGCCATTGTATGTCACCTCAACACGCCCTTCTCCAGTCAAATTCCCATCAACCAGTCTTACGCCTGAATTTTTTAAAATATAGCTTACTGTATATATAATTATCCCTTATATATTACACCTAAAATGGTTTCCAAAAAAAAACAAAGCAAAAAAAAAAAAAAAAACCAAACAAACAAACAAGCAATTCGAGACTTACTAGAAATATATTCTTTTTCCAAAACAAGAATGCGTGAATCCAAACTTGTTGTCAAGCTTTTCAGTTGTGATATTTCAGTAGATCCCGATTTCTTGAGTGAAGCCAATTGATTTGATGTTCGAAGTTGATCCTGAGATAATCTGGTTTGTAGAAAACTAAGCCTGCTTTGTATTATATTTAAGTTAATTGACAAAGTCTCGAACCTTTTTTCGTTGTTATTTTCTAATGCTGCAAGTTTTCGAAGAACGGTTAATTGTAGAGTTCACGTCTTCTCGGAAATCATACACATATGAATCCAGAATTGTGACATGATTTTTTAAATGTAATAGCATCTCAGAAACATTCCTTACATTTGAAGAATAGTTGCTTAATAGTGAAACCAATTCATCTGATAGTTGGTCTTGAGAAACTGTGTTTTGCAGAGATAATACTTCAGTCTGTGTTGTGTTTAAGTCTTTCAACAAAGTCACGAGCTGTCTCTCGATGTAATGTTCTTTAGTTGCAAGTGTATTCAAAGACTGTTTAGTTGAAGTATTCACTTCTTCTAGATCATGAACGCGTGAATCAAGAATTGTCATTTTACTATTCATTTGAGATAACATTTCGGTCAAGTTTCTTGCAAGCGAAGAATACTTATTTAACAGTGAAGCTAATGCATCTGATGTACGAAGCTGTTCCTGAGAAACTATGCTTTGTAGATAAGTGATTTCGCTCTTTGTCATGTTTAGGTCACTTTGTAGAGATGTTACTTCGCTCTTTGTCATGTTTAAATCACTTTGTAGAGATGTTACTTCGCTCTTAGTCAAGTTTAAGTCACTTTGTAGAGATGTTACTTCGCTCTTTGTCATGTTTAAGTCACTTTGTAGAGATGTTACTTCGCTCTTTGTCATGTTCAAGTAACTTTGTAGAGAAGTTTCTTCGCTCTTTGTCATATTTAAGTCACTTTGTAGAGATGTTACTTCGCTCTTTGTCAAGTTTAAGTCACTTTGTAGAGATGTTACTTCGCTCTTAGTCAAGTTTATGTCACTTTGTAGAGAAGTTACTTCGCTCTTTGTCAAGTTTATGTCACTTTGTAGAGATGTTACTTCGCTCTTAGTCAAGTTTATGTCACTTTGTATAGATGTTACTTCGCTCTTTGTCATGTTTAAGTCACCTTGTAGAAATGTTACTTCGCTCTTTGTCATGTTTAAGTCACTTTGTAGAGATGTTACTTCGCTCTTAGTCAAGTTTAAGTCACTTTGTAGAGATGTTACTTCGCTCTTTGTCATGTTTAAGTCACTTTGTAGAGATGTTACTTCGCTCTTTGTCAAGTTTAAGTCACTTTGTAGAGATGTTACTTCGCTCTTTGTCATGTTTAAGTCATTTTGTATAGATGTTACTTCGCTCTTTGTCATATTTAAGTCACTTTGTAGAGATGTTACTTTGCTCTTTGTCAAGTTTAAGTCATTTTGTAGAGAAATTACTTCGCTCTTTGTCATGTTTAAGTCACTTTGTATAGATGTTAAGTCACTTTGTAGAGATGTTACTTCGCTCTTTGTCAAGTTTAAGTCATTTTGTAGAGAAGTTACTTCGCTCTTTGTCATGTTTAAGTCACTTTGTAGAGATGTTACTTCGCTCTTTGTCATATTTAAGTCACTTTGTAGAGAAGATACTTCGCTCTTTGTCAAGTTTAAGTCATTTTGTAGAGAAGTTACTTCGCTCTTTGTCATGTTTAAGTCACTTTGTAGAGATGTTACTTCGCTCTTTGTCATATTTAAGTCACTTTGTAGAGAAGTTACTTCGCTCTTTGTCAAGTTTAAGTCACTTTGTAGAGAAGTTACTTCGCTCTTTGTCAAGTTTAAGTTACTTTGTAGAAATGTTACTTCGCTCTTTGTCATATTTAAGTCCCTTTGTAGAGAAGTTACTTCGCTCTTTGTCAAGTTTAAGTCACTTTGTAGAGAAGTTACTTCGCTTTTTGTCATGTTTAAGTCACTTTGTAGAAATGTTACTTCGCTCTTAGTCAAGTTTAAGTCACTTTGTAGAGATGTAACTTCGCTCTTTGTCATGTTTAAGTCACTTTGTAGAGATGTTACTTCGCTTTTTGTCATGTTTAAGTCACTTTGTAGAAATGTTACTTCGCTCTTTGTCAAGTTTAAGTCACTTTGTAGAGATGTTACTTCGCTTTTTGTCATGTTTAAGTCACTTTTTAGAAATGTTACTTCGCTCTTAGTCAAGTTTAAGTCACTTTGTAGAGATGTTACTTCGATCTTTGTCATGTTTAAGTCACTTTGTAGAGATGTTACTTCGCTCTTTGTCATGTTTAAGTCACTTTGTAGAGATGTTACTTCGCTCTTTGTCAAGTTTAAGTCACTTTGTAGAGATGTTACTTCGCTCTTTGTAAAGTTTAAGTCACTTTGTAGAGATGTTACTTCGCTCTTTGTCATGTTTAAGTCACTTTGTAGAGATGTTACTTCGCTCTTAGTCAAGTTTAAGTCACTTTGTAGAGATGTTACTTCGCTCTTTGTCAAGTTTAAGTCACTTTGTAGAGATGTTACTTCGCTCTTTGTCATGTTTAAGTCACTTTGTAGAGATGTTACTTCGCTCTTAGTCAAGTTTAAGTCACTTTGTAGAGATGTTACTTCGCTCTTAGTCAAGTTTAAGTCACTTTGTAGAAATGTTACTTCGCTCTTAATCAAGTTTAAGTCACTTTGTAGAGATGTTACTTCGCTCTTTGTCGTGTTTAAGTCACTTTGTAGAGATGTTACTTCGCTCTTTGTCAAGTTTAAGTCACTTTGTAGAGATGTTACTTCGCTCTTAGTCAAGTTTATGTCACTTTGTAGAGAAGTTACTTCGCTCTTTGTCAAGTTTATGTCACTTTGTAGAGATGTTACTTCGCTCTTAGTCAAGTTTATGTCACTTTGTAGAGAAGTTACTTCGCTCTTTGTCATGTTTATGTCACTTTGTAGAGATGTTACTTCGCTTTTTGTCATGTTTAAGTCACTTTGTAGAGATGTTACTTCGCTCTTTGTCATATTTAAGTAACTTTGTAGAGAAGTTACTTCGCTCTTTGTCAAGTTTAAGTCACTTTGTAGAGATGTTACTTCGCTCTTTGTCATGTTTAAATCACTTTGTAGAGATGTTACTTCACTCTTTGTCATGTTTAGGTCACTTTGTAGAGATGTTACTTCGCTCTTTGTCAAGTTTAAGTCATTTTGTAGAGATGTTACTTCGCTCTTTGTCAAGTTTAAGTCATTTTGTAGAGATGTTACTTCGCTCTTTGTCTTGTTTAAGTCATTTTGTAGAGATGTTACTTCGCTCTTTGTCAAGTTTATGTCACTTTGTAGAGATGTTACATCGCTCTTTGTCAAGTTTATGTCACTTTGTAGAGATGTTACATCGCTCTTTGTCAAGTTTATGTCACTTTGTAGAGATGTTACATCGCTCTTTGTCAAGTTTATGTCACTTTGTAGAGATGTTACATCGCTCTTTGTCAAGTTTATGTCACTTTGTAGAGATGTTACATCGCTCTTTGTCAAGTTTATGTCACTTTGTAGATACGTTAGGTCGCTTTTTGTTGTGTTTAAGTCACTTTGTAGAGATGTTACTTCGCTTTTTGTCATATTTAAGTCATTTTGTAGAGATTTTACATCGCTTGACACAATCTCAATCTTTTTCTCGTTGTCCTGTTCTTCCACATAGAGTGTTTTTAAAGATTGCTCGATTGCTTTAATAGATTTCATATTGGATGCTACTTGATCGACTGTTTTCTGAAGAGAATTGGAGAAATTCTGATCTATAGTTTCAAATTTTTCATTGAATTTTGTATCCAGATAATTTATCTTCTCTTCCTGTTTGGTCATTAACGATGAAAGGGCTTGAACAGCGCCAAACTTGTTACTGAGCTGGATTGTGAGAGCAACGATAAGTGAAATTTCCTTTCTTAGAGTATTTGACAAAGGGGACTGCTTTGTGGTTTTTATTAAATGTTGAATCATATTATCTTGATTTTCAAACGTTTCGTTTTGTTTTTCGATTTTGTTCTGCAAAAGGTCCATCATTTGAAGCATGTCGGTAACAGTATTTACATATTTCCTAGACGAGTACAAAGTTGGTGATTTCTTTGTGTTTGTAAGAGAACAATAAATAGGGGCGTTTTCGATAAAAACGACAAATACAAACGTCCACGAGAAAAGGAACATTTTGTGTTATGTTCTCCCTGAAAAAAGAAATAACATATGTTAAAAAATTCTAGAAAATTACTACTGGATGTTCAATTTATTAATATTGATGACTGGTGTTTGGTTTTATTTTATTACACATTAAAAATGAAAAATGTACTGTATAGCTCTCTATTCGGATAGACAAAGCAGAGAAATACGGATTTTAGCATTGTAAAAACCTTCGATTTACCTTCCAATTTTGTTTCTTCCTTTTAAAAAAAAATTAATTACATGAATCGGTATGACTTCTTTCTTATATCATAATATCATGGCATCAGTCAATTAACCATAAGTATACAATGTATTTTACTCGTAATGAGGGTGTGTATGTGAGTGTCTTAGCGATATACGAAACGGGACAGCCTTGTTTTCGTTCAAAAATAGTTCACTAGTTCAAGATAACATATATATTTAAAAGATAACAAAATTTTATTCTTATTTAATGCTTGTGATTATAAATTGAAACGATCACTGTCATTCCGATGTAAATAGAGTACCAATAAGTTCAGATATATATCATGCTGTAACTGTTTAGCATGGATTATTTTAAAAAATAGATATCATCAGATAGTCAAACAATGAAAAATAACATTGTTATATGGTCTGTGTAACACAGTCAATTTACAATTCAAATTTCCAAAAAACAAATTTTGTATTTTAAACTTTTAGAGATTTTCATCTACCGTTTCTTCAGAAAGTTTACGCTTAACAATCTAAAATTTATTAACATTTTTCGTCTTTTGATTATTTAAAATTTACTTCCAACTTTCAAACGTTTTAGATTTTTTTTTTGAAATTTAGAATTTTGATTCAAACAACCAAGTTTTAAATAAAAAATAACACTTTTTTCAATTTGAGTTTTTTGATGTTTCCTTCAAATATCCAAAAAAATCAAATTCAAAACCTGGTTTGAATTTTGAAATTATTTCAAAAACTCTTTTGGTTACGCAAAAAAGCTTTTAGATAGTTAGAATATTAAAATATATTTAAAATTCAAATCGGGATTGGAAATTTGATATTTTTGGATATCTAAAGTAAAATTCTAAAACTCAAAGTGTTTTGGTTATTTGAAATTTGAATGTTTGATTCAAAATACAAATTTTTAAAAACTCAAAACGTTTTGAAAGTTGAAATTTAAAAGTTGGAGGTAAATTTTAAATAATTAAAAGACGAAAAATGTTACTGAGATTTAGATCGTTAAGCACAAACTTTCTAAACAAATGGTAGAAGAAAAAGTCAAACGTTTAAAATACAAAAATCGTTTTTGGAAATTTGAATTTTAAACATTTAAGCAAAAATCTAAATATAAGAATTCTTAAACCTTTTTAGAAAATTGAAAAGTTAGGTTTTTGAACTAAAATATTAAATTTCAATATACCAAATCAATTTGAGTTTTTTTAAAATTTAGATATTTGTTAACATTCTAAACCTCATAATTTATTTTAGAAATTTGAATTATTTAGTATTATACGGACCGTTAAAGCAATAAATCTGTTTTAAAGATGCAAAAAGCTCAAGTAAAAAAATAAAAATACTTAGCATTTAGACTCAAGCTCAGCCTTTAAGGATTTAAGCTTTCACTGAATTTCCAAGAGACGCAGAATATCGATAGGTGAGGAGAAAAATTTTAAACCGTCTTCAATGCATCCAATGACTTATAGAAGAATTTTCCAACAATAACATTTTAATTCACATATTATACAGTTTCCTGCAAAAACGCAGACTGGCTTGTATCTTATCATGTTTTATTTCTTACAAACCTCACACATCAGTGTGAACCTGGGGTTGAAGTATTACTTAACTGATTTCTGGAAGTTTTTTTGCTGAAATTTTCATACATTAATAAATTGAGAGATAAGGGATTCTCAAATAATTTTCATCAATCAGACCTAAAGAATGAATAAGTCACTACACGGAATTTAATCTTATCATCAATGCTGGCAGGCAAGAATATTTAAGGAATGAAGCTTATTTCAACTTTTGTTATACGATATAACATAACTTGGGGCAGTCTACGCTTTATAAACCGCGAAGCGGATATTTTGTTTTCCACACTATGCCGGTGTGTTCCCTGAACGTCTACTCTCTCTATAAACACATTTCACATCTATTGTTCTATACCTAATTATCAAATGTGTGCAAAACGGGAACATACCGCTTTGAACTGTATGAATAAACTACCTGCATTTTTAAGACTGTGTCAAAGACTTTCATAGGGAAAATCTTAGTAATAAGTGAATAAATTAAATCTTGTTCCAAAAATTTTGAACATTTTCTACTGAAATTTTCAAAGTATTAAGTAGGTATTATAATCAATTTATATTAATCAATGTTTAAAAAATCTTACCAATAATTCCTATAAAATGAATTAAATGTTATTTAAATATTTTTTTAACTGAAATTTTCAAAGTATTTTTTTAACTCGTAATTCTGTAATACAAAACTACCTTCATTTAAATTAGAAAAAAAATTATTTTATTGTGCTAATTAATATTCAATTCTGTCTATTTTTTTAATAAAAATGTTTCAAGGCAGCAAATGTTAATATTTTAACATACTGAAACAAACAAAAAATCTTTCGATACATTCTATTTAATATTTTTTCAATACATCCGTTGAATTCAGTTATTTTTATGGTGCTTAATGATTTTTATATCCTTTTTTAGTTCAATTTTTAGGCATTTACTCCGAATACACTATTTTGTATACTAATACACAATTTTTTATTTTCAAAATCATTTTAAGTCTCCGCGATAAAACTTAAATCTTAAAGAAAATTTATTGTATGCCATCATTGAATAAATTATGACACAATTTGCAAAGCAATGATGATAAATTATGTCAAGTGCAATTAAAAAAGGGGGATATGTGATTGGTTGCTGCAATCAGGTTCTAATGCACAATTCATTTACTTTGGAAATCTGTTTTATTTCATCGTCGAACATTTATAGTCGCCCGCGTGGCGTAGTGGGTTGAGCGTCTGCTCTAGAGTCGCGAAGTAAGGAGTTGATCCTTATGTCGCGGGTTCGAAACCTACTGTGGGACATAGAGACCGGTCCTTCGGATGAGACCGTATAAACCGAGGTCCCGTGTTGCAGTGGACACTGGCACGAAAAAGATCCCTCCCTGCTCAATGACCCTGAGTGCCGAGTATAAGACAAATTGCACAGCTATCCACCGGCAACTGATGGCGTCTCCATAAGAGTGAAAAATGCTAGCGAGGGACGTAAAACAATAAATACAATCAACCATTCAATCGAACAGCTATAAGACTTAGTAATGTTTGAAAAAATATTGTTGAATATCATTTCTTTTGTCTTGTTTTCAGAATTTAACTTGCTCATATCATCTTGTCCGTACCATGAAAAACTAGAGGTACTGTGAGCAATGGGTTCACTAAATGATACCCCCCGCCTCCCATATGTGTATAAATGGCAGTGTCCATGTTTTGCTATGGGAAACCCGAGATATGTGTCGGATCAAAAAGTAAAATAGGAGGTGCACAATGGCAATATATAATAAAGATTCTGTGAAAGTTTCATCAGATTGCATTCAATGGTATGAGAGGAGTTGCAGATAAGAGATGGGTACCCCAAAGCGTAACGGACGTACAGACGGACGGAATTAACGATTACTATATACCCTCCCGCTTTTCAAGCGGGGGGTATAAATATAGGTGGTCGATTAAGTGAAAAGCACTTTAAGAAGAAACAAAAAAAAGAAAGAAGGAAATCGTCAAAATTTAAACACTCTAGAAAGGAAATTTTAAAATTGTCCACATGATTTGTGCATGAAAATCTAGAATGATAATTTTTTTTTAATGCAGAGAAGTTGAATACATTGATAAATTAGAAGAAATAATACCGGTAAATTTTGAAATATCTAACCTGGCACCTGTGCAATCCGTCAAACTGTGGATTCATTCCCATTTTGCTATACTTTCATTTTTTTTCTTTTTAAACTGTGCAATCCGACACCCTGTGTATTCCGACACAGAAATCATCTCCCAGTGCAGGTCGGATTAGACAGGTTAGAATTTTAGCTAACTCGCTTTTAACCGATGTCACTTTTGATCTCAGTCTCACTTTTACACCATATATTCCTTTGTTTAAAGGGACACATGTTCTCACAGTCATGTTCTGATCTGCGAATTACTGTAAAAAAAATATGAAAAGCTTGTAAATAAGATTCCATTTAATAGAGAATACAAGAAAATGTTCTAAATATAAAAGGCAAAATACAGAAGATTATGTAAATTTGAAGAGCAAAATTACAGAAAAACATTATGCAAAGACATTAACAACAATATCGATAAAAATCCAAAGACATTCTGGAAATTACTCAATAAATTAGATAATATCAATTCTGGACGAATTTCATCTCATGATGTTCACCCTGAGGAATTTTATCAGTTTTTAAAAAAAAATCAACAAAGCTGACAACAATCACAATAATTTTTATAAAAGTATAATAGATAAATTTCATGTCCTGAAAGAAAAAAACTACAAACACTGTGCCGGATAATTATGCCACTTCAAAAGTGGCATTTTGGCGCCCGCCAAATTCTCATTTCACATAAAAACCATGTATACCAAGTGGTAGACCATCACTCACAGAGTTCATAACTACCTTTGTTACAGGTAAATCTCACCTGTCAGGTGAGATAATCACCTTTGAACAAAAAATTCCCATAGGAAAAATAAAGTTCCTATAGGAAAAATAAAATACCTGAGGGATATTATCAAAATCCTGCAGGATTTCTTAATTTCCTGTGGGATATTTAAGAAATCCTACAGGAAATTAAATTACTATGGGAGAATTTAATCTCCTGTAGGAATACAATTTCC